TAAGTCTTTGTTGAATTTCATACCATTTGTATGGTTTGATGTTGGTTTTATAATCCCATTTTCCATAATTAAGTCTTGGTTTATATTGTCTCCAAGTTGTTATTTGATGTTGGGTTTATAATCCCATTTTCCACAATTAAGTCTTGATTCACATTTCTTCGGCTGAATGCGATTCCTTTCCACAATCTAGTGGTGTTCAAGCAGAGATTGTAAAGTTATGAATAATTTTATTAGTTGTTGGATTCTTTCTCCCTTTATGTTGAGAAGTGATGTAGAATCTCTTGCAGGATATTACGCTCTCCAGTTATGACATTGTTGTTGTTGTTGTGTGCCTCCAAGAAGCCACACAAGGGCAGTATACCTTTTAAGAAGTGTTGAGACAAGTGTCTACTCCTTGGGTTTTCTCTCACCATGTGATGAGTTTGATTTAAAATCCCCATGAGATGACCTCTTGCTGTGATGTTAACTTCTTAATTCTCCAGATGAGTCGAGGATGATGTTTCCATCTAAAGTTGTTATCCCATGAAGTTTCATGATTTCTCGCTAGAGAAGTTTGCACAACTATTACTCTTGATATTGAAGACTGTATTTAGGCTCTCTTAGGTGTGTGAGGTTTCCTTTTCCCCAATGAAAGTAGCATGACATTCCCAGTTGAAGTCTCAACGATGTGGTTTTCACCTTCCCTAGTGAAGTTAGTTTTGGAATCTCCAGGTGAAGTCTAGAAGACGAGGCATTATCTTCCCCAGTCAAAGTCTGTATGACATTCCCCGGTGAAACCTAGAGGAGTTTATTATATCCCCGCAACTTTATTTGTTGCTAGTCAGAGTGTGTTATGATTAATTTTCAAGCCATTATTCTTCCCAGTGAAGTTAAGCCTTGAAGTAGGACCTTGTTTCCTCAGCTGGTGCTTACTCTCTTATGGAACCTTCATCCTAGATGGGATTTAGCCGAGTGTTGTCTTTACCCAAGTTGGATTTGTATGGTTGTCCCCAGTGCATTATGGTTATTTTTTCAGCATATACATGATAACATTCATACATTCATACAAATCATACATAGCTGAATTTAAAATTCATTTCTCATTTGCATTCATTGACGCTTATTGGCATATTGTTCTCTTTGTAGAGTTATTTTATCCTTTCTCCAATAAGAGTATCAATTTTGAACAGAAAGTGTATATCCTTTCAATTTCCCACTGAGTTATCCCTCGTGGAAGAATTTTGCTTTAGCTTCTCTATCCAACTCATTATCTGGATGGAATGTGATCCCCTTTTGAGTTTATTTCTCATTAGGTGTTGTCTTGGTTGACTGTCTCATTCCCGGTTATTTCGGATTTGAATATGTGGTCCATGGCAAGATTATTATTCTAATTTCTGCAGGCCTTGAGCCTTGGTTTGAGGATGTGCATTTATTTTGCATGCAAAGATTTTTTCTCCTCAATAGGAATGTGTTAGTATTTTCCCAGGAAATCAAAATCCATTTCCCGCCAGTGTTATTGCAATTTCATCTCATAACAACAAGTGGCGGGTCTCTTTATTTGAGCAACCTGTTCATCCCCAGTTATTCTGTTAATGCCAGAGAAGATTCTTACTCCAATGAATTGTAGTCTCGTCATTATGGGAGATAGTTCGTTGTTGAGACTTATATTCCGATGAATGGCAGTCTCGTCGTTATGGGAGATAGTTTGTTGTTGAGATTGGTTGTGCTTCAATGATAAAGACAGTTCATTTAAATATTCTTACGGCAGTTTTTTACCCTTTTCAGGTGAAACATCTTGGTTAAAGAAGAAACTGAGACCAGTTTGTGGCTTATGGCCAGGATCGATGGGAGGTTTATCTGATTCTCCATCAAATAGTATCTCTTAGAAGAAGTCTTGCAAGAGAAGTTTGTTGTGAAGTCATCGCAAGTGGTAGTCTCTTTATTTGAGATAGCTTGTATTTTTACCCTTTCCAGGTGAAACATCTTGGTTAAAGAAGAAATTGAGACTAGTTCGTGGCTTATAGTCAGCATCAAGGGGAGGTTTATCTGATTCTCCATCAAATGGTATCTCTTCGAAGAAGTCTTGCAAGAGAAGTTTATTGTGAAATCGTTGCAAGTGCTCTTTATTTGAGATAGATTGTATATCACCATTTCCAGGTGAAATACCTTGGTTAAAGAAGAAACTGAGACCAGTTTGTGGCTTATGACCATGATCGAGGGGAGGTTTATCTGAGTCTCCATCAAATGGTATCTCTTCGAAGAAGTATCGCAGGAGAAGTTTGTTGTGAAATCATCACAAGTGGTAGTCTCTTTATTTGAGATAGGTTGTATATCACCTTTTCCAAGTGGAATACCTTGGTAAAAGAAGGATTTGAGACCTATTCTTGGTAGAACGCCAGAATTTTGGGAAACTCGTTATTGTTAATGCAAATTTCACCTTTTGTAAAAGTTAGTACATCTTTTGTATCTCTACCTTCAGTGAAAGTTTGTAGTTCACCTTTAGTAAACATCGGTGTATATTTTCTCTCTACTTTTAGTGGAAGTTTGTAGCTCACCTTTAGTAAACATTGGTGTATCTTTTCTCTCTACCTTCAGTGAAAGTTGGTAGTTCACCTTCAGTAAACATTGGTGTATCTTTTCTCTATACCTTCAGTGAAAGTTGGTAGTTCACCTTCAGTAAACATTGGTGTATCTTTTCTCTCTACCTTCGGTGAAAGTTGGTAATTCACCTTCAGTAAATGTTGGTGTATCTTTTCTCTCTACCTTCAGTGAAATTTGGTAGTTCACCTTCAGTAAACATTGGCGTATCTTTTGTCTCTACCTTCAGTGAAAGTTGGTAGTTCACCTTCAGTAAACATTGGTGTATCTTTTCTCTCTACCTTTAGTGGAAGTTGGTAGCTCACCTTCAGTAAATGTTGGTGCACCTTTTCTCTCTACTTTTAGTGGAAGTTGGTAGTTCGCCTTCAGTAAATGTCGGTGTATCTTTTGGTTTCTTTACCTTCAATAAAAGTTGGTACTGTTCTATGTTTTTTCTACCTTCATCCTTGAGTTGGTAGTTCATCATTGTTCTTAGTCAGGATTTATCTCTTTCCCTTCATTGGACCTTACTCCGATAGAGTTGAGTTGTCTTCTGCCATAAGTGCTGATGTCAAACCTTGTTTCTAGCCATAAGTTTTGACGCCAAATCTTTGTTACCAATCATAGGTACTGATACCAATCACTCATTTACTAGTCTCGATATTGATGTTTATTGTCATCTCTGAGCCAGTATTATCTTACCGTTTCTGTTTTTGTCCTTCGGGTTAACAGTTGTTGATCCCCTGTGAGTTGATGTTACTTTCTTTTTTCTATATCCTCTATGAGTGGATAGTTCACAATTATCGGTTAATCATTGTTATCCATTACTTTTTTAACATTTTATTAAGTTGATCTTATGTTTGCTCCTCTCTGGACTTTACTCCAGTAAAGTTGAGTCTTCTTTCCCAGCGGAGCCGATATGTCTCCAATTGATGCAAATTTCTATCCCCAGAGTCGTGTTGTTCCCCGAAGATTTATTTTCCTGGTCGAATTTTTTTTGTTAGTCCGTTGATTTTATTTTTGCTTCTTCAGTGTGTCTTCTTCACCTGCATGAAGTTTATATTTTACATCCATAATCATAAGCATCACATGGCATCTTAGGGCTAAAATTAGGGCTTGTTTTATATTTAAGTATCTTCAATCGCGTCGAGACAAAGATTTTAACCTTTGTATCTCCGGATAGAAGACACTTAAATAAGGGCAGTTGTTATACCCCAATTTGTTTCCCTAAGATCCCTCGTCACATCATATACATCTCATGCATTTCATCGGTTCCATAGTTACGAGATCAATGGGCTCTTGGCATTTGGGTTTTTCCCTATGAATTAAGGTTTCTACCTTACTCAAAGTTTATTTAATAGGTGCTCTCATCATTCTTGGTATGAAACTAAGGTTTTGGATCACAAACATCATAGACGTCTTTACTGGCAGAGTTCCTCGAGATATAAGGTTCTAAAGTCAAGGTTTTGTTCCTCTCACCATCTCAAACCTTTTTCATCCGTATGCACTCAAGGTCTATTGATTTAGGGTTTCTTCTATTGTGCCTAAGCATGGATGTTATTTATTCAACAAATGATTCATTGTGCTAGGTTTTCTCCTCGAGCCTACATGATCATTATTCCTTCCTCATTATGAGTTTGTCATCATTTAAGATGGTTGAAGAGTATTTGAGGCTTGCACACAGTCAAGATATTCTTTGTTGTTAAGCCATGAAACTGGGAGAATTACAGGATGCACCTCTTCCTGGACTGGATGAAGCTATTGCGATTTCCAAGGTTATGCAATTTCTTGAATCGCCGAAATATAACATGTTCACCCGCATTGTATTTGACATGGCACCTACAGGTCATATATTACGTTTATTGTCCTTGCCTAAATTCTTGGATGCATCTATCGGGAAAATAATAAATCTAAGACAAAATATTGCTTCACCTATCTCTGCAATTAAATACGTGTTTAGGCAAGAAAATACTCGTCAAGATGCTGATGTCAAATTGGACAAGCTTAGGGAGAGGATGATAAAAGTGAGCGAGCTTTTCCGTGACATTGATTTGACAGAATTTTTTATTGTTACGATCCCCACGATAATGGAAGTTAGTGATTCATCTAGATTGAGTGCTTCATTGAAGAAGGAAAATGTTCATGTAAAGAGACTCATTGTCAATCAAATTCTTCCACCATTTGCATCTGATTGCAAGTTTTGTGTCGTGAAAAGAAAGGATCAAATGCATGCTCTTGATATGATTCAGAGCGATCCAAAACTCTCGACCTTATCGATGATCCAAGCACTACTTGTTAAAGTTGAGATAAGAGGTGTTCCTACTCTCAAATTTCTGGGTGACATCATCTGGAAATGACTAATCAGACAGTAGTTCAAGTAATGATTAGTTGGCAGTTTTGTGAAGAACCATAACTTGGGCATATGGCATCAAGGATTATCATAGTTATATAGTCAAGTGGTAGCTGATGGACGAACCAGAAAGTTTTTTATTTCTTTTATATATACAGTTGAAAAAGAAAAGAAAACCAGAAACAAAAGATACAAAGACTTTACAGCAGGAAATTTCATAAAGAAATATAGTCCTAGTGCCCTTAAGCTCCATGCCATAAGCCATTTTCAACCATTCTTCAAGCCGTGCCCTGATTATGCTAACTCCAATCCAAACATGTTCAAACTGAAAACCAGTTCCCGCATTACAAATGTGTACATGTTCAATTTAAAAACTCAGCAATACAAAGAGATGAAAATGAATTAAATCAGAAAAACTGAAGAAAGCCAAAACTGAAAAGAGTACGGCGAGAAAATGGAAGGCATTAGTTGAATTCACCTTCACAGTCCATTTAGAAATAACGTTCCAGCTCAGCAAAACTAGAAACTTCTCTAATAAGCTTGATAACAGAATTTCTAACAGAAGGACAAGAGAAAAACTAACTGTTAACTGAATTAATCTAGGCCCTCCATCTTTTAACCGATTCTGAAAATCTAATGGGGGGATTGAGTTTGTAACTGAATTCATAGAGTGATCCTGATATATCAGAAGGAGAGTTCACAGAAGAGGGGTATGCAAAAAACAAAAAAAAATCAAGAAATACTCACCTTTCAACTCTCTCTAGGGGCTTTCTCTTCTCTTCTCTTTATCTTTATCGTTCTTCAATCACCACCTTTAAGCTTCACGTGAATCACCATAACCAGAACCTTCATCTCTCAACCTTTAATCATCTTCTCCATAACCTCACTCTTCAATCTCATCCACCACAGTTCAACTTCACAAAAAATTTCCAGAAAGCCCTTTTTGATCTCTCTCTAAATCTCAAGCTTCATCCTTTAATTTTCTCTCTGCAACATTAATCTTCATTACAAGTCTTCAAGCTTCTTTGCACGATTCTTCAATATCCTTCGTATTGACACCTTCATCATCACAAATATTCACGCATCTCTTAAAGCTATCTCGCAACTCCATAATCATCTTCATAATAGCAACAACATCCTCCTTCATCTACACCATCAACACCACGCGTTAGAGAACAACATCAATGTCAAATCTGCAATCGTAACAACTCAAAACTCACACAGAAAACAAAGATTAAGAAGCAGAAGAGAAGAAACAAGAAGCAAAAGTTAGCTGAACTCGCGCATCGCCGGAAACGCACCATAATAGCCACCGTCAAGACAGGTTACTCGATATTTTTTCCTTGATTTCTCAACGCCATAACGTAGTCTAAGACTTGCTGGATCTTTCGCATTTGCTTGTGACTTGAAATCGCACTTCATCATGGTACAATCGCCATTTTGGAGCGTCTTAGGGTTTTCTTCCATGAACTAGATTCAGAGTTTGATGAGGAATAATGGAAAGCAAGGTTAAGATTTGAGTTAAGGTACGCATGTGGAAGTCTCTGGTTGCGGAGGAGGGGATTTTGTCCCGGTGGCGACGGATCAGAGAAGAAGAAGCTCGGTTATGCCGCTGATTATTGAGAGAAAGGGAAGAGATCGTGTTTTGATAAGCTGAAAGGTCAAAAAGTTCGTAACCCTATCTTTCTCAGGCTAAACAGAATCATTCAATTATTAATTTATTTTTTAGTTTGTTTTTAATTGGAAGATAGATGATAAAGCTGCTGAATGTTAATTAAATCATGATGATGCGGAAAATCTGTTGGATTTAGTAAGAAATTGGATAATGGGCCAGATCATACTCCACCTGAATCCCAAACGTGAATTTTGTGATACAAGTTAATTGCTTTTGCAAACAAAAAACAGCATTGTGGACTCAACAGTCTGGGTCTAGGCGCAAAATTTGCCATCTGCACCCTTCATAAGCCCACTGCAACATTGTTTTTTTGCAGAATGAAGTTTGTGGACAAAAAAATTTCATAGGACTAAGTTTAGTTTGGGCTTAGTGCTTATTTCAGTTTCTTGTAGCATGCACCCTGATCCAGGTCTTGCACCTCCAGTTGCATTCATGTGTTATTTTCTTGTTAATTCATTTTTTTTGCAATTTTTATTTTTTGCAATTGTTTGTGTGATTTCTTCATGATTTCGACTAATTTTCCATATGATAAAACAATAAAAAATATGTAGAATTTAGGAGCTCCTCTTAATTTTTTTAGATAATAAACCATAAAATCAATAAAAAAAATTTAGGATTTTTTTATTTGATTTAGGAAATTAATTCATAATTTTTTCGATTACTTAAGACTCGTGATTCACCTTTGCTTGTTGAGTTGAGTCTTATGCAGGTTCATTGTTTTATATGCGAATATTTTTGAGTTTCTGATTGTGATTTATTTTCACATTGATGAAGCTTCGCCACCTATTTTGAACATTTGATCTCTGACTGTTTATTTGTTGATCCCAGCTCGCGCGAAGTATTCTGGGTTTCTTTGCTTTGGTTGCGCTTTTTACGGAAATTATTGTTCGTTTGGTATTATACTGCTTCCAATTTATCTTCCCGCATTTTATTTCTTTCTATATATCATGAGAAGTAGGAAATAAATAGCGTGCGCTTGAAGTCAGTGTTTAAAGACCTGTAGCAGGTACTCCGCACTTGCTTGCTAATTGTGCTTGTGTTTATTTTCATGGGTTGACGATCGATAATGTCACTCAATTAGAATTGAGATAACTACTTCGATATTTTGCATGCTCCATATAGGATTTTTACTTTTCTTTGTTAATGATCAATGATGTTACTCGATTAGAATTGAGATAACGACTTCGATCTTTTGCACGCTCCCCTTAGGATTTTTATTTCCTTTTGTTGACGATCGATGATGTCACTCAATTAGAATTGAGATAACGACTTTGATCTTTGCATATTCCCTTAGGGTTGCTCGATTAGGATAGCTTTCAAGCTAGACATTATGATAGTTATCCATGCATGCTAACATAGGGTAGAGATTTCCCTTTTCATCCTTGACATAGGGCTGCCATTGTATGATAACATTAGTTAGAGATAAGTTAGTCTCCCTTAGGTGTTTTCTTCCCATTTTGCATAATTGTTATTAAAACTAAAACTTCTTTTACTTGGAAAATGTATAAAAATGCTATGTATACACAAATTATTTTCATGATAAAAAATACCAACCAATCCATTTATTTTTGCCATTTGGCTTTTCTCTTCTAAGAACGTGTTGATTCCTTTCCACTACAGTGCGTGAGTCTCCAATGGTCGAGCAGCGATGGAATGATTGAGTTTAACATTGTTAATCTAAAAAATACAAACAAACAAAATAGGTGAGCCGAACTACAACGCTCTTATTCCTTAAAAGGGATACGTAGGCATCTGGTCACGGGGCTCAGCCTAGCGAAACTTTGTAAATATTTGTTTCTTTTCCTGTGTTTTCTTTGCATGCATTCCCTCTTAGATTTTTTATCTCTTAAGCATTAGATTGAACATAACCTTTGATTAGAACAACAAGATTGGATCTCGTAGAGTACTACGGACGTGAGGGGTGCTAATACATTTCCCTCGCGTATCGACTCCCATACCCGATCTCCTGGTCGCAAGACCTTGATTTCTCCCTTCAAGTTTTTCTTCGATGATTTTACTTTCCCTTTATGTGGGATAAATAAATACTCGGTGGAGACTACATTGGTTTTACCGCTACAGTCGCTCCCATTTTCGCCTAGCGATGGTCACGCGATGACACCATTGCCCGGCGACGCTACCCCATCGCCCAATGATACAACGCGAAAGGGTTTTCCTGTTGCAATTTCCTACATAAAAACCAGTCCCAATCTTGCAAATTTTACACATTATAGATCTTAAAACATCATATAATCACATGTTTTTCACCAAACATCAACAATCCAATACATTATATATTATGGGTACAATTGCTTACAATCTAAGACCACAAAACATCATCTAATTCATCAAATCATCACATTTTCATCACAACCAAAACCTACTATAAACCACAACTATCTAAACCTTAGATCAATTATAATAATCGAGATAAACACCCCTTACCTTAAGATTATTGCTAGCAATCAAATCCTCTTTGTTCTCTACCGAAATTCCTATGCTCATTCTTGCCTATTTGTGTCCTAGGTCTCTTTCTCCACAATGTCTATTCCAATATACGATTGCATAGAATGATCATGTAAACTCCTAAACCTTTCCTTATACCAAACTTGCCCGTTTAGACCCTAATAACGAACTTCCCATCATACCCTCACTTATCTTCCCCAAATGACCATCTTGTCCTTATTTTCTTACACTATCATTCTATTTATTTAAATCCAAATAATTTCAAATAATTATTTAAACTGCAAACATCCTTATTATCCCATCCTATACCATACAAATCATCATTCTAAACATCATAATCATCTTGACATCATATTATACTTCATAATCATCAAGACATCACAAATTACCATAGAGGCTCACATATAAGCATCAAAACATCACATGCATCAAACATTCCATAATGACTCATATATATTCATGCTAAATTAATTAAATAATAATTAATCAAGCATATGGGGCGTTACAACTCTCCCCCTCTTAAAAGAATTTTTGCCCTAAAAAATTACCGGGCAGAAAGAAGTCCAAATAAAACTCTTTCATCTTATCCTCGCGTTCCCAAGTCCAACTTTCACCGGCGGGTCCACCCCACAATACCTTCACTAAGGTGATCTCCTTGCCTCGCAATCTCTTCACTTCCCGATCTTCTATTCGCATTGGTAATGCTTCAGTAGTCAGGTTATCTCTCACATATACATCATCCATTTGTATCACATGCGAAGGATCCGAAATATACTTTCTCAATTGAGACACATGAAACACATCATATAGATTTGTGAGTGACGGAGATAAATTAATTTAATAAGCCACTTCACCTATCTTTTCTGATATCTGATACGGGCTAACGAAACGCGACGTAAGCTTTCTCGACTTTAAAGCTCTACCAACACCAGTCACCAGAGTAACCCTAAAAAATACATGATCATCTTTTTGAAATTCTATATCCTTCCTCCTCTTATCATGGTAACTCTTCTGAAAAATCTGAGAAGCCTTCATCTTCTCCTGAATCATCTTTATCTTTCCAGTTGTCTCTTGTACAACCTCAGGTCTGAGTACAACACTCTCGCCTGACTCATACCAACACATTGGAATTATACACCTCCTACTATACAACGCTTCATACGGACCATCCTAATACTAGAATGGAAACTATTATTATAAGTAAACTAAATCAACGACAAGTGGCTATCCCAAGCACCTCCTTGTTCCAACATACAAACCCTCAAAAAGTCATCCAAAGATTGAATAGTCCTCTCCGTCTGACCATCAGAGTGAGGATGATATGTCAAACTCAACTTCAACTTAGTACCAAAAGCATTTTGTAAACTTGTCCAGAATTTAGACGTAAACCTCGGATCTCTATCTGACATGATACTTGATGGTATTCCGTGAAACTTCATAATTTCATCAATATACAATCTGGCCACTTCTCCATAGGATGATTAATCTTCATCAGTAAGAAATGTGCCGACTTAGTAAATCTATCCACTATCACACAAATTGAATCATTTCCCTTAGCCGTAACCAGAAAACCTGACACAAAATCCATAGAGACATTGTCCCACTTCCATTCTAGAATATTCAGCGGTTTCATAAGACCCATTGACTTATGATACTCGATATTCAACTTCTGACAAGTCAAGCAAGCATAAACAAATTTGGAAACTTCCTTCTTCACACAGTGCCACTAGAATAACTTCTTCATGTCCCGATACATCTTTGTAGCACCAGGATGAATACTTAACCCACTTTTATGTCCTTCCTCAAGAATACTCTTCTTAAGCTCTGAAACATCTAGAACACACACTCTATCGCCAAACCTCATTACACCATTCTCATCAATTCTGAATTTATCTCCTTTACCTTGGTTAACCAAAGTCAATTGATCGACTAACCTCAAATCAAACTTTTGTCCTTCGCAGATTTCTTCTATTGTACAACTAATTAGTTTCAACATTCCTAACTTCACGCTCCTAGAAGTCTCTTCACACACTAAGCTCATATTTCTGAATTTTTTGATCATATCCTAACTCTCGAACCATAAGCATCGACATATGTAGTGACTTCCTACTCAATACGTCAACAGCTACATTTGCCTTACCAGGACGGTAACTCAAATCTAAGTCATAGTCTTTCAACAATTCAAGCCACCTCCTCTATCTCATATTTAATTCTTTCTGGTCAAACAAGTACTTCAAACTCTTGTGATCACTAAACACTTCAAATTTAGAATTAAAAAGATAGTGTCTCCAAATCTTTAATACAAACACCACCAAGTCCTATATTAGAT